CCTGGGGCCCTGCTGCTGCTTTTGTGGTGGGGGTGGAGGGGCTGCTGTTGCTGCTTTGGGACCGCTGCTCCGGGGCCACCCCTGGGAGTGCTGCTGATTCAGCCGCACTCGCTGCTGCAGCTGCGGAAGTCACGGAGGTTCCAGAAAGTCATGGAATCTGTGACTTCCATGACAGACTCGCAGTCTTAATTATAAACACACTGTAGTGATTTCCTTAGGGCAGGGAGGTCTGTATATCACTTGCTGTATGTCTTTTTGTCCAGAGTTTACCTTCCAGTGGATTTTTTTTCACTAGAATTTTGTCTTGTACCAGGGAGTTACTCATTTTAAAGGGGACTGAATCAGAGAATTTAACTGAATTCAAAAGAAATCTAGATTTGTGTCTAGAAGAGGAAGGGACGGAGAGGTATGGGGAAGATGGGATCAAGGTACATTTCCAAAGGATGGGGTTCCTCAGGTCTGGGATTTCTGGAATCAACTCCTTGTTTTAGTTAAGAAAATAACTGGGGTTTGAGATGGCAAAGTCTGGGAGTGGCTTTGGGTTTGCAAAAGCAAAGCTGGGGTAGTTCAGATCCAGGTACCATTTTATCTGAATTTTTAGCATTCTGGGCTAGGGAGGTGGCGGCAGATAACTGTCTCTGGTTAAGTCCATCTCTGATGAAAGGGTTTTAGAATTATCCCAGGAGATCTGTTGCTGGTAGGGTGACCTAAGGAGAGGTTATTCAGGCAAAAGAAACACTTTGATACCCAGATGGCACCTCTCTTGACTTAGTTATTGTTTTCCTCCAGTACACTCTCTCTGCCACTCTTGACTCCTTTGCCACTTTCCCTCATCACAAGGTCCAATCTTGAGCTGTAGCTTGCCCTTAATACCCATATTCTCTGCTCCTGTTCTCATGCTGCTGAGCATCTCTGGTGTAAATCTCAAGACCGTGTTGAGTTTCTCCACTACAAACTCACTCTCTTTTCCTTTAATTCTATCATTTTATTAGCCAAACAGCAATATTTCTTCTTCCTGATTGAATCCTTCACCTGAAACTCCAATTGCCTTTTTGCCACATTTTCCCTGTACCAAATCCTTCCCCCCTCTCCATCTCCGTTCAGAATCTTGCAGATTTCTTCTCTGAAAAAAATTGCTAAGATTTGGTGTCATATAGCCCCCCCTCCTCTTCCCCCATTATTTACAAGCACCGCTTTGACTAACATCTTTATCCTGATGACTATGGCCTCTCTTTCTCACGTCTCTTTGTGAGTGTCTTGTCATCATCTCAAACTCAACGTGACCAAAATTTATGCACAACAAGTCAGAGATGGGATTAGACTATCAGTCCTGATTCTTGATCCTCTGCTCCAGTTTTTGGTAACACCTGCCTCCATTCTTTAACTTTCAGAAAAAGTAGGGTCTCAACCCCAGTGGCCTGCCCAGACGCACAAAAACAAGTTCTAACATCCAAGACATTACATCATGTGTTTTCAAGTACAACGGCTGCTCCATTTCCTTACTGAATTGTTGTATTATAAGCATTCAACCAATAATATTGGAAAGGACTTAGAGATATCTTGCTCTAAAAAACAAGGGAGCCCATTGTTATGTGGTATATTTTAATCTAGTAAATCCCACCTACCTGAGATGTAAAAACATCCACATCCTCTTGCATTTTTACTTTTGACATTCAAAAAAGTTTGTTCTTTAAAGCTATTAGTTTCTTAACTAATGATGCATTCATTTAAACTTAAAAGTCTTCATTTTAGCCTAATGATGGCATGAATACTGGTGAAGTGAACTCTACTTTTGCAGAGCAAATATGTGTCCATTAGCAGAATCTTCTGTAAATTTGATTTTGAGTGGGGAGCGGCAGATGTTTATTCAGTTTGCATATTTCTTGTGGTTTGTGGTTTCTTGTGGTTTAAGCATCTGAAGGGTGTAGACACTAACGAGGGAGAGGAATTGTTTATCATGACATGTGAAGCAGCTTTTGCAAGTTTGTTATGACTTTTTACCAGCCCTGGCAAAAGTCTGCTTTCCAAGCAACTGCATGAACTAGTCCTGCTCGTTTCCAGTGCACAATTAAGCACTTTTCTCCCAGGACAATGATTGCCTTCCAGAAACAGGCTAGTGTTGTTGACAGGTTGGAGTCAAAAGGAGGTGAATTTATTGTGTTATTTAAAAAACAATCAGTGAACAGCATTGTAACTAATAAGACATGTGCCTTTCATCACTGTGATTATTCCGCTTGTATGTTGCATTCCTTTCCTCCCACTGTTTGAGTGAGATCCTCAACCCTGCTCCAGCCCTGGTACCACAGAGAACATAAGAAAGGCCGTACTGGGTCAGACCAAAGGTCCATCAAGCCCAGCATCCTGTCCTCTGACAGTGGCCAATGGCAGGTGCCCCAAAGTGAATGAACAGATAGGTTATCATCAAGTGATCCATGCCCTGTAACCCAATCCCAGCTTCTGGAAAACAGAGGCTAGGGACACCATTCCTGCCCATCCTGGCTAATAGCCATTGATGGACCTATCTTCCATGAATCTATCTAGCTCCCTTTTGAACCCCTTTATAGTATTGGCCTTCACAACATATTCTGACAAAGAGTTCCACCAGTTGACTGTGTATTGTCTGAAGAAATACTTCCTTTTGCTTGTTTTAAACCTGCTGCCTATTCATTTCATTTGGTGACCCCTAGTTCTTGTGTTATGAGAAGGAGTAAATAACACTTCCTTATTTACTTTCTCTATACCACTCATGATTTTATAGACCTCCATCATATCCTCCCTTAGACGCCTCTTTTCCAAACTGAAAAGTCCCAGTCTTATTAATCTCTCCTCATACAGAAGCCATGCTATACCCCTAATAATTTTTGTTGCCCTTTTCTGAACCTTTTCCAATTCCAATATATCTTTTTTGAGATGGGGCAACTACATCTGCACACACCACCACCAAGTGACTGAAGTGCTGATCAAGGGGGAGAGCCTGGCTAAAGGGCAACATGCCAGCCTGTGGTGAGAAGCATCTAAGTTTGTAAAGGCACTGGAAGTGTTAAGATCAGCTTAGAACGCGTTTTGCTTTTATTTCATTTGACCAAATCTGACTTGTAGTGCTTTCACTTAAAATCTATCTTTTGCAGTTAATAAATTTGTTTGTTTATTCTACCTGAAGCAGTGCATTTGGTTTGAAGTGTGTCAGAAACTTCCCTTGGGATAACATATCAATTTCTTTGTTAAATTGACAAACTTATATAAGCTTGCAGCGTTCAGCGGGCATAACTGGACACTACAAGATGGAGGTTCCTAGGGTTGTGTCTGGGACCAGAGATATTGGCTAGTGTCATTCGGTTGCACAATCCAAGCATGGCTGGCCAAAAGTGCTCACTCATGTAGCTGGGAGCAGCTTACATGCTAGAGGCTGTGCGGGAACATCCCGGGAGTGGGGGTTCTCACAGCAGAGCAGGGTAAGGCTGGCTCCCAAAGTCAAGGACTGGAGTGACCTAGCAGATCACTGGTCCAGATAACACCAGGGGAATGTCACAACCATTCTGAGCAAGAAAGATAGTCAAGAACCCTCTTTGTCTCTTAACCAGATACCCAGGCAATACCAGAGATGCAGCGATGTGTAAGCTTCCCTACAATGTGCCTCACTACCTACGTGGATGGAACACCAGTAAAACAATAATAATACCTAGCTCCTATATAGCACTTATCATCAGTAGCTCTTGAAGTGCTTTAGGAAGGAGGTCAGTATTTCATCTCCATTTTACAGGTGGGGAAACTGAGGCAGAGAGTAGTAAAATAACTTGTCTATTGTCAGCCAGCAAGCCAATGGCAAAGCCAGGAATAAAACCCATGTCTTCTGAGGCCTAATCCAGTGCTTCACCACCTAGACCACACAGCCTCTCCAAAGAATGAGTGTATTTTAGATGCCATATCAGTACACTCCCTTAGAGTGTCAGCAAGGGTCCAATTAATGTTAATTATGGTAGTGGGTTTCTTTTTATTATTCATAATCTGTGTACCAGCAAGTGAGATCACAAAATCACTTAATACATTTTACTACTACACAGCAATCAAGGCAGCAGAATCACAAACAAAAGAACTATTCTGCATAAATAACTGGCTAATCAACCCAGACTGCACAGCCCATCCATTGGATCTGAGCAGCCGCTGCTCAGAAAAGCTGTCAATGTACTTTGCTGACAAGAGCAAAATGCTCATTTTAAGTAGGAAAATTTCAGTTTTTCAGAAATTTTTTGATTTTTCCATTGGGAGAATCTAAATGAAATATTTTGATTTGGGTCAGGTTGACTCAAATTGAAATATTTTGGTTTGTGGCACTAAATCAAAATTTTTAATTTTGGGCCAATTTGATATTAATCTGTGTCTGCCTGAGTTGCTGTCTCATGGAAATTGTAGTTCTCCTTCTCCCCTTCGGGCTGGGCTCCCTGGCTGAGTTTGGCCCCATCACACTGGCCAAAGCTCAAGCACCCTGAAAAATGTCAGCATAACAACATGTGAAACAGCTCTGTACCCTTCCTGGCTGGTAAAAGTTAGCAAAGAAAAAACTGCCTTGTGGAAATTGTTAATGCCTCTTTTAGAGACACACACCTACCAAAAGCCTTGAAAAAGCAATAGTCCACCCAATCCTCAAAGAGCCAACATTGTGCCCTGAAGACCTCTCCTGCCATCCCATCGCCAGTCCCCTATTCCTGGATAAAATAATAGGGAAAGTAATAACCACCAAGATCCAGCAAGGCACAGCATTGAGACATCCCTAGTTACCCTAAATGACAACCTCTTCCTTGCTATGGACACAGGCAGATCTCCAGGCTCATATTGCTGCACTTCTCTGCAGCCTTTGGCACAGTGCCCACAAGGTACTGCTGCTAACCCATCTGCATGACGTAGCAGAAGTAGATGGCTCAGCACTACTCTGGCTCCAATCATTCCCCTCCAATAGAACGCAGAGTTGTGATGGGTAACTGTTCCTTCCCTCTGAAGGTTGTCGTCTTCAGGGTCCCTCAGGGATCCATACTATCCTTGCCCCTCTCATCAACGAAACCACTGGGAGAAGACGTGAGATGCCATGGGCTCAGCTGTCAACAATATGCAGATGACACCCAACCCTATAGCTCATTTGCCACTGATGCCACCACCACCATTAGAAAGATATCAGAATGGCTACAGGAAGTCAGCTCTTGGAATGAGTGGTGAGTTCTATGGACCCATGGTGCCTGGGCACCAGGAATATTCCTGGCCCAAGGCCTGGCTCCAGCAATATTGGAGGCCAGGTCTCTCCCTTGGCCCCACCTTCTGCCCCCCCCAGTCCCCACCCACACCGGCAGCGCAAAGGAGCTGTGTGGCTTCCTGCCTGCTTGCTCCACGAGGCTGCCGGCCCCTCCCTGCGGCTGCTGGGTGGGGTGGAGGAGCGGTCTCTGTGTCTATGCACGCTGCTCCCACCCCAAGCGCCCCCGTGGCCAATAGGAAGCTGCAAGGGCAGTGCCTGCGGCAAGCAGCATACAGAGGCCCCCCGGCCTGCCCTGCCTACGAGCACCCTGGGGGGTGCCAGGTAAGCGCGGCACCCCCCCGCCATCTCCCAGAGCCTGCACCCCCATTCCCTTCCCACACACCCCCTCCTGCCCCCAAACTCCCTCCCAGAGCCTGCACCCCCTCTGTCCACACCCCCTTCCATCCCCAAACTCCTTCCCAGAGCCTGCACCCCCACCCCCAACCCAGAGCCTGCACCCAAACTCCATCCCAGAGCCTGTACCCCTCACCCCCTCTTGCACCCCCACCCCCTGCTCCAGCCCAGAGCCTGCACCCAGCACCCAAACTCTGTCCCAGAGCTTGCACCCAAACTCCCTCCCAGAGCCTGCACTCTTCACCCCCCTGCACCCCACCCCTTGCCCCAGCCCAGAGCCTGCACCCAAACTCTGTCCCAGAGCCTTCACCCCCACCCCCTCCTGCACCCCTACCCCCTGCCCCAGCCTGGGGCCTGCACCGAGTACCTAAACTCCGTCCCACAGCCTGCACCCCAGACCCTCTCCCTGACCTCAAACTCCCCTCCCAGACGCCCCAACTTCTCCACCCCCTTCTGCACCCAAACTCCCTCCCAGATCCTGCACCCCAATCCCCTGCACCAGCCCAGGGCCTGCACTCCAGACCTCCTCCCCCCATCCAAACTCCCTTCCAGAACCTTAGGCAGGTGGGGGTGGAGTTTGGGGGGGGGGCTGTGGGCATTCTGGGCACCACCAAAATTTCTACCAACCTGCCGCCCCTGGCTCTTGGGTGAAGAGCAGCTGGCTCAGGCTGAATCTAGGCAAGATGGAGGTGATGCTGGGTGAAAAGGGAAAACACTTTCAAGATCTAGCTGAGATACTGTTCGCACCTTCCACTGATGGCAAACAGCTCCCATTCACCAAAGGGGTATGAAACCTCAGAGTCCTGTTTGACTCCTCTCTAAGCTTGGACAGCCAGGAACTTCGGTATCTAAAAGTGTCTTTTTTCTCCTCCCGCTCTGTAGGAAACCTTACCCCCAGATGAGGACCTGACCACAGTGTTCCATGCATTCATCCCCTCTGGGCTGGCTTACTGTAATTCAGTGTGTCTGAAGCTGAATGTGAAGATGATGCACAGGCTCCAACGGGCACAGAATGTGGCTGCCTGCATTTTCTATGGCTTAGGCCTCCACAGTCTAGTGCAGGTCAGGTCTATGTTCAAGTCCTTCCACTGGCTTCCAGTCAGTTTCAGATGCCAGTAAGACCTTGGTCCTAATCTTCAAAGCAGTTACTGGTTCAAGGCTCAGCTACATCAATGACCAGATTTCAATCTATGAACCTTTGAGACAATGCAGATCACAAAGGCTAGGCATAAAGCATTCCCAATCAACGGACTGAATTTCCAGAGCAAATGAGGTAAATCCAGACTCTGACTATCTTTAGGAAACACTGCAAAACCTTTGAAAAAAGCTTTTCCACCATAGCAAGGATAACGTTCACATCACCCCATCTGCCTAAATGCTTCCATCACATGAAGAAATAAACTCTGTACCCCTCCTGTAATACAAACAAATCAACCAGCCAAAACCGACAACCAAACAAACTAATAAGCAAAAATACCCCAGAGTTTTTACCCCAAGAGGGGAGAAATGCCAGAGACTCCATCAAGACTACTAGGGACTTTGCTATTGATTTTACCTGGAAAAAGCTCAGATACCATGGTGATGGGCAGCAGCATAAAACCCTAAGACAGATAGAAATGATCAAGTACATAAAGTTTTGTGACCTGCTGTGTTACAAACATTGATTAATTTGTCCGATACCCATAGCTATAGATGGATGGTGTAGCTATTACCTCCGAAGCTTTGACATGTGGCAAAGAGTAGCTTAATAGTTCAATTAGCTCCTGGAAGGGCTCTTTAGGTGTGCCAAATAAGCAGCATGCAATTTCTATGAAAAAGCAATGCTGCTGCTCCTTGTGAAGCTTTAACTTCCTGCAGTGCCAGATGTAGCTAGTGTTTTACCATTTCTTTCTTCAAATAGCAGTGCTCAGGGGGGATAAACTTTACTTAACCTAATTAATTTTAATCACAGCTTTCAAATCTCATACTGTGCAAAGAATTACAAATTGGAATACATTAATAGAAGCCAGGGTTTATGCTGCAAGCTAATTGTGAAATGTGCATTTATATTTTCTGCATGAACTTGCAATTACCATTAAAATAAAATTCAGTTATGTCCTTTTAAATTACTAAAATGTGAAGAACAGATTGAGCTGGTCCCATTTGTTGTACTAAATGACTTGAAAATGGCCTACATTTCAAAGAATTAAATGACTCTCCTTGAACAAGAGGCTTTAGAAAATGATTTCCAGTTGTCTAGAGTTAAGATGCTTCCAGGCATTCTTGTTGTTTAAACAATCTTTATAAAAATGGATTATAGGTTTAAAGTTTCCCACCTGCTTTAATACAGATTCATTGGAATAAAGCAGACAGCTCTTTTTCAAGCTCTCACTTAGGTTTCCTTTTATGATTAGACGGACGTAGCAACCACTCTCCCTCACTGTATCCAAGATCTCATTCTGAACTCCTGCAGAGTTCAGAAGCGTCCCAGAAAGTGAGCTTCCCAATAAAGAAGCTGATTCTTTTTTTCTTTGTATCTACTGGTAAAAGAATGATGGGAGAAATACATACAAGGAACTCCAAAGCCAGGTAAAATCCAACCAGGGATTTTATTACAGACTCAAAACATTGACTATGTTTATCAAAATGTTCACTAAGCTTCATAACTCTTATGCAATCCTGATGAGTTTTGAGAGATTTTAAGGTAGGGTAAAATTTTCAAAAGTACCTAAGAGTACATCTACATTGGAAATGAAGGTGTAATTGTTGCATGGGTAGGCATACCCGTGCTTAATTTAGCTAGCACTGGTAACAATAGCAGTGTCGATGTGGCACAGGCTTCAGCATGGGCTAGCAACCAGAGTACATACCTAGAGTACTTGGAGGGCTTGAACTCTGGTTGCTATCTGCTACTGTTATCCATCTAGCTAAATTAAAGATAGTACGGATATGCCTACCCAAGCTACAATCATACTTGCACCCTTGCAGGGTCCCACAGCTCGAGCCCAAACAAAGTTTAATTAAATTACAAGCTAAGTAGGAAGACCACCAGCAGGGGATGCCAGGGGATACCCGGGGGACTGGGACCTGGGACTGGGGTAGTGCTGTGCCCCTTAACTCTCCAGCCTGGGCTGCCTCTCACAATGCTTTGCTAGTGATAAGCAGCAAACCCCTCCAAACGCTGTTATCACTCAACACATTAGCATGTGGTGCCCCACAGCCAGCTAGATTGCATGAATGCTCCCTGAGCCACTCAAGAATCACACAGAGAAAGGCATCAGCCAATTCCCCCCAGCTTCCCAGCCCTGCACCTCGGAAACCTGACCAGTGTAAATTCATGACCCAGTCTGCCCCTTCCTCAATGTGGAGAGGACACAAACAAGCCTTTGTAAACTGAGCTGAGATTTCCCAAGCACTTTAACCACAACACACTGCTTTACGTAAAACATAAAACAGGTTTATTAACTACAGAAAGTTAGATTTTAAGTGATTATAAGTGGTAGGCACAAAAGGTCAGAGATAGTTACCAAAGAAAATAAAAGGTAAGTGCACAGGTTAATCTTAAACCTTAGTATATTAGGCAGTATTTAGATCAAGCAGTTTCTATCACCCCACTGGATGTTACAGTTCTTAATACACAGGCTTCCCCTTTTAAGCCTGGGACCAGTCTCCTCAGTTGAAGTTTTTATCTTCTCAACGTTCTTGTTTCTTCCAGCGTAGGTGGGGGAGGAGAAAGGCCAAAACATGATGCCACTGTCGCCTATTTTATATCCTCAGTCCATGTGCCTAGAAAACACTAGCCCAGACTGGTCACAGAGTTGAGCAAGCCCCCACTGTGTGATGCTTGTGCAGCCTTTTACAGTATTGTAAATCCCTTGTTTACAACCCCCCTGTTGATTAATGGTTGTTTAACGCTCTCCTGAGCGTGGATCGCCTCCTTCGTTGTCACTAGCAAACTTACAACATATTTCAGTAACAACCATAGAGCAAAATCTCATAACTTCATACACATTAACGATATACATATTTTGACAGAACAATGGGTTTCAGCAGATCATGACCTTTTCTATGATATCTTACATGGCATGCTTTAAATGAAATATATCCGAATTATATGACAGTGGTGAATATAGTGGAGCTATAGGGTGCTGCTTTGAGGTACAGAGTGCCCAGTTAATACAAGAGTAGAACTATAAACACTGCACACTTTATAAAAATAAATACACAAATACAGAGAAAAAATTACTCATCATAAAAGCACTTACCGGTTCCTTTCTAGATTTAGATTAATAGATTAGAAAGTCAGAATAGGCCATTTCAATCATTTAGTCTGACCTCCCTCATCAACAGGCCATAGTATTTCCCTGATCTAATCCTTGTTTGAACTAGAGTATATTTTGATTTAAAAGCTTCCAATGATAAAGAATCCACCACAACCCTTGGTAAATTGTTCCAATGGTTAATTACTCTCCCTGTTAAGAATTTGTGCCTTATTTCTAGTCTAAATTTGTCTAGCTTCAACTTCCAGCCACTGGATCTTGTTATACATTTCTTCTTTCTATTCAAAGTATTACCAGACTCTCACAGGCACTTGGATCATCCAGGAAGCCTCCTCTGGATGGCTGAGGGAGTACCCAACACTCTAATCCTTTTCTTTTTGTAAATCCTAATTCTGCAATCTGATCCACATAGTTGACTCCTTGCACCTGGGTAGAGTTCCACTGACTTCAATGGAACCCTCATGGGCATAAGGGTCTGCCTGAGTGGAACAGATTGGAGAAGCAGAGCCATACATAGTAACAGGGAGGAGAAATGTGACTTTAAGAGTTCAACCTTTTTCTCAGGATGACAAGGACCATATCAGCTTTTCCAATATAATTGGTCGAGATAACTGGGATGTGCAAATCCTCCTCATTTACTTGATGGAGTCCAGATCTACACTAAATCCACAAAAGAGCCACCAAGAAAAGAAAAGAAAAGAAAAGAAAAGGTTTATAGAATAGACATCCTTTGTGCCTCAGAAAAACGTTGAACATCTATACAGGATTCATGGCACCCCCTGCCTACAAACTACAGTACAGTGTCTCCTTCTGGACATATTTTGAACAGCAATAACACTTGCAATTAATTAGAACATTTCTTTTACTAACTTATAACACTAAAGTCAATAGAAACAGTTCCACAATCTGTTTTTCCATTCAAAATTCAGGGGGACTGTTTTGTAGTGAAGCATTTCACATTCACAGAACCACTTCATTATGACGGCATTTGGATATTGTTTCTACTTTGCTATGAATCAAGTTTCACTATAGCAAGGTTCAAGCTTCTGTATTCCACTGTATTAAAGGACACCATCGAGAGGAGCACAGCAGTGGTTGCATTTTCTTTCCACTATAAAACCCTCTATAATTTAGCATTTTCTGTTGAACAAGATTCCAAACTAATCTGGCTTGTGATTAGTGATGAGACACATCACAGTCTTGACACTGCAATCACTAGTCATTCACATAGAAAAAGGTCAAGTTACAGTCCTTTCAGGAAACCACAACAAGCTTTATATATGATAGATGATAATTGTTGGCTAAGTTGCAAGCTTCATGCTTACTAAACAATTTACAGTCCGTTGGAGCTGCAAGAAAGCCATGTTTAGAATGCTGAGTTTAAAGATAATAGCTAGTTAAAATATTTTTTCGTAGAGCTCAATACAAAATATGCTGATGTTGGAAGACTAAAAGGATGAAACATTGGTGGATGAGGATATCCAAAATAACACTGAAAACCATTACTGCCGAAAGCATTTATGCAGGAGTAAAATTAACTATGTTGTTGCCCTGCAGCTGCACTTCAAATTTACATTTGCATGAAAAAGTTTGTTATGAAATGCATCTTCTCTTTTTCAAAGTTGCAGTTCATGTGTTCTGATAGTATATATGATATGTAAAGTGAATACAATTTTAAAGTAGATGGTGGGCCAGATCCTTACCTGGTGTAAATTATTATTGTTATTACTTATTTGTATTATCATTACACCTAGAGCCATAGTCATGGATCAGGACTCCATATAGCAAGGATGGCCAAACCGTGGCTTGTGAGCCACATGTGGCTCTTTTACCATTAAAGTGCGGCTCACAGAGCTTCACCCCCATTCCCCACCTACCAGACTGGGGTGGAGAAGCTCAAGATCTTTGCCTTGCCGTGGGGTGGTGGGGTAGAGGCTTCTGTCCAGTAGAGAGGGAAGGGTCTCGGGGCTTCAGCCCTGCAGGGCACCACCTGCTGGGGCTCGAGGCTTCAGCAGGAGTGGGGCTGAAGCCCCAAGGCCTGGGCCCCAGCAGGTGTGCCCTGGCTCTCAAACTTCTGAAGGTTGTTGTATGTGGCTTGGAGGGCCAGTAAGTTTGGCCACCCCTGCAATATAGCTGTAAAGAAGCTCTATTGGCCTGGTAATTTTTAATTTACAGTCTCAAAGTTCAGGGCAACTGCACCTATATTCCCCCTCTGTGGTCCAGCAAGAGCACCCACTCTTGGCTTCTGGCTTCTGAGCCATCACCTCTCTTAGCTGGAGCTATGCGTGTCTCTCCCTTCTAACTGGGGTATTTCCAGCCTGACCATTTCACTGACTGACTGTACTGTGACCTCCCCCAGCAAAAGTCAGATTGCCTAAGCAGACCTGCTTCACTTCTCTCCTCAGAGATGGTAGACAGTGCAATTGCCAAGAGTTGTAAGTTACCACACAGCTAAACAACTTTTTTATTCTTAAGGTGAAAGCATTACAGAGAAAACACATCAAAATCAATAAAAGAACCTACACACATGCTAAGAAGCTTACCAGAGATCACCTGCCTACTCCAATGAGAGCTCTAGTTGGAGATTAGTCCTTCAAACCCCACTCAGGGCTTTTCCTGTGGTCACCAGTTCATAATTGCTTTTGCTGAGAACTAAACCCCAAGTCTTATGGGGCCTCAGCAGGTCAAAGACCTTCCAACCCTTACCTAAGGATTGGGACCCCACTTTGACCAGAGGTAGGGTGACCAAATGTCCCAATTTTATAGGGACAGTCCCAATATTTGGGGCTTTGTCTTATATAGGCGCCTATTACCCCGCACCCCCTGTCCTGATTTTTCATACTTGCTGTCTGGTCAGCCTAACCAGAGGTCCTGTCTGTTTGCTGGATCAAAAAGAAGCCCTGAGTAAATTTAAACTCAAGCTATTTAACCAAAAATCCATCCTT